ACCACCGGACTAGATCAACTTACTCAAAGCCTTTTTTTAACTGTGTTTCAAGATTGAAAAAACCAAAAATACAACTTCAACCAACATTCATTGATTGTATGTAATACTTTTGATATATAAAAGTATTATATGATTAAAATTAACTAGACCTTGAGTACTCTCAGATTTATCTCCAATTTTTTATATTGAACAAATCTTTTTTTTTTTTTTTTTTGATAACCGTGGGTCTAAAGACTTCTTAGGCCCAAAGACTAATCCCACGAGGCCCACGGCAATCCGTGTGGCCAAGGGGACTCGAACTCATATGACAGAAATCACAGCTGTGATCCCTTTACCACTGGGCCACTAGGCCTTAGTTATATTGAACAAATCTTACAACCTAAAATTGTAATTACTTGCCAAATTGAGCTGTTTACAGCAAATAAATTACCATGAGTTAACTTTGTGGATCACAAATTACAGAAAGTGTTTTTTTTTTTTTTTTTTGATCAAAACACTTTCTGTAATTTGTGATCCACAAAGTTACATTGGTTATGAAACCCAAACTCAATTATTTGTTGATGTTTTGTATGACCAATTAATCTCGTTTAATTTAAACCAATTGATTTTTACACAATTGTAAAACTATTTGCGACAGACTATTGGGTAATTTTTGTCAAAAAAAAGACAGACTAGGGGTCTGATTGGTTGTGTCTGTAGCTTTTAATTTTTTGCTATAGAATTTAGGCTGTAGATTTTGTTGCTCTGGTTGTAGATTTTAGTGTTGTAGAATATTTATTGTAAATATTTTCTAAGAAAATACTATAAATGTAGCATTAAAAATAAATAAAAGAGATATAGGAAAGAAACATTAAAAAAGAAATATAAAGAATGAGATTAAGGAATGAGAAGAGAGAGAATTCTCAGAGTCCTTAAATTTGTGCTCTGGAAAATTTGCTCTGCAGAGCCAAAATATTTCCATATTTAAAATTATGGCTCTAAATTTAAAAAATGAAATCAAAGTTTGATTGGTTTAACACTAGTGCTCTAGAAAAAATTATTGCTCCACGGAGCACTCAGAACACTTACCAATCATGTATTTGGCTATATATGACATGATTTCTGTATTTTGTAGTATATTTGGTAAATATTTTTAAACTATGTGTGTTACATTTACCTTTATAATGTCTGTAGGTCATATAGTCCACTCAATGAACGAAGTTAAATGAAGGTTTGTGTAGGTTACAAATAGATAGCGACAGAAATGAGTGCGACTGCATGAAACCATATATTAAAGTATATGACAGTTGAAGGACGATAAGTAGGTGAAGGTGTTTTCCATTTCTAACACGTGCGGTTTCGTTCATTCATAAATCTTGGAATGATCCATTCTTTTCATAAACGTTTTTGTGATTTAAAGAGATTTATTTAAGGGGAATAACTTCAACTTCAGATATACTTTTTTTGTGTGCAAACCATATTTTTATTAATATAAACTTCAAGGATATACAACAATCATACAATCAAAGAGAGAGAAGTATCCATCCTCTTGGAAAACTACGATTAGAATATGAAAGAAGGACCGCGAATTGGAGACAAAAGCGTTAACAGAATTTTCTAGGGCGAGCCGAAATGTTAAAACATAGACATAAAAGATAATTTTCTAGGATCTTATTATATAAAGCTGGAATGATTACGACACGTAGATTTTTATAAAATATAGATTGTGACATGTGTCACTTTTAATGTTACGTTCCGTTAAGATCGTGACACATGTCTTGGAAAAAGAGAAAAAAAAATAAAGGGAAAATTTTAATCTTTTATAATAAAAACGAAAATTTATATAATAAATTGAAAATAATGTAATAAAAATACCTATTAGTACATGGAATAGGTATGTAAACTAAATATCCTAAAACTGTATGGAATATAGGTTACATAAACCCCTATTTTAAAAAATCCTATTAGTACATGGAATAGGTATGTAAACTAAATATCATAAAACTGTATGAAATTGGTTACATGAACCCCTATAAAAAGAGAGCTACTGTATTCTCTTTTTCTCATTCACAAACTCATCAAAGCAAATTCAGCAAATCTAGGTCAATTATCGAAATCATAATTGTTATTCGAAAGTGGAGAAGCTAGAAATCATAAAGAAAATAATATTCTTATGGGAGTTGAGCTTCTATTACTTGATGAAAAGGTTAGTAACATCTTATTATAACATTGATTAACATTAAAGTTTTACTTTTGTTTGAAACAGAAAACACAATTCAAGTTTTTGTGCATCATTCACTACTTCAAAATTTTGAGATCAGATGGCCGAAGGAAACATCATCGAAATTTGTAATTTTAATCTGCAATCTGCTGATAAAAAAACTTCTATTACTTGATGAAAAGGTTGGTAACATATTATATTGATATATATCTTATTAAGAAAAGGAGGAAAAATAACTCTCATTAAGAAAAGAAAAAAAAAATCAAAAAAAGAAAAAAAAATTGTTACATCCATTACGAAAAGGAAAAGTAAAACATATTTCAAATACGAAAAGGAAAAAATAATAATATATAGTAAGCTATAGCCTTCATGATTTAATTGTGTGATTCTATCTTTTGATTAAACTTCTCTCTCATTAAGAAATAAATATAATGTATTTGAAAGTTCATGATATCAATGAAGAATATTTAACTCTAGATCAGTTGGATCCAAATCAAAATTATTGTTGCTACTTGTGTCTAATATTTTGAAAACAAGTGTTAACACAAGAAAATTGGAAAAATGTATAAAAAAATAAAAAAACTAACAAAATAATTAGAAAACAACTAACTAATAATGGAAAGGAAATTTTATAATGGCCTGAGTCAAAAACAAAACTGAAAAAACAATATAAATAGAAAACTAATAAAATAATTATCGAGCAACTAACTAATATTAAAAGGAAAAATTAATGAACTGATATTCTAATTTTAATAGTTTAATTTTTTTGTTAGGTAAAAAAATATTTAAAAAAAATTTCATCAACCGAAATCTCTTCAATGGAATAATAAAATTTTCACGAATTAATCAATCAATCAAACTTACACATGTGTAAGTCTTTCAATTTTAGATAAAAGTAAAAAGATAACAAATTAATTCATTTTTCGTATCATGAATTCAGAAAATATGTCAATTATAATAAAAATGTAAAAAGATTACCAATCTAATATTATTTAGAGGTCTTTTATCGGGGTTTTAATATTAATCTACTTACTTTTAAAGTGTCAAATTTATTTAATATTTTTCTATGATTTATTTCAAAAATTGTATAATAAACCCGCGTATACGCGGGGCCTAATCTAGTTAGACATAAAGTAAGATGTCGAAAAAAGATCAACTAAGATTGAAAATAAAAATAAAGAGTAAATTTTGTTTAAAAAGATATATGATCGATTTTTCAGTGTCTTAAAATTTGATTTATGAGTAGCTAAAATATGAAAAAGTAAAAATAATTTCGATAAGATAATTAAAATAAATAAATAAATAGTTATTGTTCTATTAAACTTTTCTATAAGTAAAAGATTTCGTGTTTGTATTTTTTTCAGTCTGATTTTCTCTATTCTATGGCTGACCGGATTTTGTTTTTAACAAATAATAAAATATCAAATTATTAACTAGGCATATACGTACGGGCTAGTGTACTAATCCAGTGAGCATTGTTTTTGGTAAATGTGTTGTGTATGTCATGTAGGTCCTGTTTCGTTTAGATTTGTGTACTGTAAGTCCTGTAAATTACAAACAGATATGGACAAAAATGACTGCCAAAGAGTTGTTTTTATATTGGTTACAAAACCACATTGTTCGTTTCCTATTTTTTTAATAAATTAATTAGTTTAGAATATCCATTTACAAATTTTAAAAAGATTTCTAGAGCAATTAAGAATCTCTAGATATTGGTACTGGATTATCATCAGCTTCTCAACTCCTTAGGTGAGTAAAGTGTATCATCTTATATTGAAATATTAAACTCATTAAAAATGCACTAACAATAACCACCATCAATTATAGGTCTGAGACTTACTCTAAGTTATTATCAAAAAAAAAAAAAAAACCACCATCAAACGTGAGTTTTCAGAAGGTTTGTCTTCATCAAATTCAACTGACCGATTAGGTTTTAACAAGTATCTATTATTTACATTTTATGTTTAAGTTACGTTTAAATAACAGACAGATTATATTGTTGCTAGCGAAGTACGAACTCACATGTTTATTATAATCTCGTGGTCAGGAAGTTGATGTTCAATAGTGGTCGAAAATAGAAATTGGCATATATGATCAGTGGTCAGGTGGTGCTTGACTAGTGCATGATTCCATCTTGATGAGGATTTGTTTTACTGGTCTAGGTCAAGAATCAAATCTTATCTTCTGCACACAAACCAAAACAAAAAAGAACATAGAACCAAATCTGTCTGAATCCACTACTTGACCTGTGAACACCTTAAATGGTAAACGTCCTAAGTTTCTTTTTTTGTTAAAGAAAACGTCCTAAATTTCTATGGACCTCGGAGATTATACTACGGTTATAACTTTTTTTACTGTTCATATTGTTTTCGTATATACCCGAATAAATGCTAGTCCAAATAATCGAGTACTAAAAAATTCCAACTAAAAAATGTTGATTACAGTGTGATGCCTAGTTTTCATTAAATATGCTAAACAGGGCAATATTTAAAACAATTATGTTGCATTTGCCCTTTTGCAATCATAGGTGCGGCAATATGATTTTTTTAACCATTTTATATTATAGGGACGGTGGGTTGGTAACGTTATTTTCCAATTCTAACACGCGAGGTTAATTAAGTAGGTATTAATTATTGAACACTTGATTATAAAATTTGATTTCGGTTTAGCTCGGTTACAGTATTTGGTCTGGTTTTGGTTAAGAATATAAGAAACGTAATTTATAATTCTACTATATATAAAGGAGCTGTGCTGACCCGATTATGTACCACTCCAACTAGTAACTAATAACTAACTAAGAATGGAAGATATCATCATCGGCGTTGCGGCTCTCGCCGCGGTTCTCCTCTTCTTCCTCTTACAAAAACCGAAAACCAAACGGTACAAACTTCCTCCGGGCCCAAAGACGCTTCCGGTGATCGGAAACCTCCACCAACTTCAGAATCTAAACCCACAACGTTTCTTCGCCGGATGGGCCAAAAAATACGGACCAATATTTTCTTACAAGATAGGAAGCAAAACAATGGTGGTGATATCTTCAGCTGAGCTAGCCAAAGAGCTTCTCAAGACTCAAGATGTCAACTTCGCCGACAGGCCTCAGCACCGTGGCCAAGAGTACATGTCCTACGGCCGCCGTGACATGGCGTTTCACCACTACACACCTTATTACCGGGAGATAAGGAAGATGGGCATGAACCACTTGTTCTCACCCACGCGTGTTGCATCCTTTAAGCACGTGCGTGAGGAGGAAGCTAGGACGATGCTGGCTAAGATAGAAAAGGCCGCCAAGAAATCCGAAGCGGTCGATATAAGCGAGCTTATGTTAACATTCACCAACTCTGTTGTGTGTAGACAAGCGTTCGGGAAGACGTATAATGAAGATGGGGAAGAGATGAAGAGGTTCATCAAGATTCTTTATGGGACTCAGAGCGTTTTTGGGAAAGTTTTCTTCTCCGATTTCTTCCCTTTTACGCGCTACGTTTTCGATGATCTTACAGGCCTCACGGCTTATATGAAAGAGTGTTTCGAAAGACAAGACACTTATCTACAAGAGGTTGTCGATGAGACGCTTGATCCCAAGAGGGCCAAGCCTGAAACAGAGAGCATGATCGATCTCTTGATGGACATTTATAGAGAACAACCATTCGCCTCCGAGTTCACTCTAGAGAATGTCAAAGCTGTGGTAATGGTACGTATAGTAACATCTCTCTTTCTGTTATATAATATATACCCATTTGAACTCATTGCTTGCGTTACAAGACTTCGTTTGCTTGTGTCTCACTCTTTGTTTTGTTTTGTGTTTTTAAAAGAATATCGTAGTGGCGGGAACGGACACGGCAGCTGCTGCGGTTGTGTGGGGGATGACGTATCTAATGAAGTACCCTAAAGTGATGAAGAAAGCTCAAGACGAAGTGAGAGATTATATGAAAGAGAAAGGGTCAACGTTTGTTACTGAAGACGACGTCAAGAACCTTCCTTACTTCAAAGCCCTGATTAAAGAAACCCTAAGGGTCGAACCGGTGATTCCTCTCGGTGTTCCTCGTTGTTGCATTCAAGACACCAAGATTGCTGGCTACGACATCCCCAAAGGAACCACGGTCAATGTCAACGCGTGGGCCGTTTCACGTGACGAAAAGGAATGGGGACCGAACCCTGACGAGTTTAGACCGGAGAGGTTTTTCGAGAAGGAAGTTGACTACAAAGGCACGGACTACGAGTTTATACCGTTCGGGTCGGGCAGGAGAATGTGCCCGGGGATGCGTCTTGGCACAGCGATGCTTGAGGTTCCATACGCGAATCTTCTCTACAAATTCGATTTCAAACTTCCTAATGGAATGAAACCAGAAGATATCAATATGGATGTCATGACTGGTCTCGCTATGCACAAGTCCGACCATCTCAAGCTTGTCCCCGTAAAAGTGAACTATTGACAAATCCCGAGTATCACTCGGGTTATTTGGTATTAGTACTCTGCTTGAAGCTTTTTTTTTTTTTTTTTTTTTTTTGCTCATTAAGAGGCAGTCGTCTCTTATCTTTATATCTTTCTCTTTACATTTTCCGAAATGATGTATTTGGTGGTTCTTATAAAGATTACTGGATTGTTTCAATAATATATTGTCTTGGCCAATATTAATACCAGTAGCAGCAAATTCGTCAATCCCTCATAGTTGACACTTTGATTGCACAACGAAATTTTTGGTGCATGGGATTCACTACACAATGTCACAATCCAAACAAGATAAAGGTACTTTACCATCAGACGATGCATCCCTTTCAAAAGAAAAGAACGAGAAAATCATTAGGGAAGAATGTCGAAAAGATTTTACGCCTTAAATGGAATAGAAGACGTCAACCTCAAGAAGTCATACTTGTACTCACTTCCATAACCACTTGGAAATGACACCTCAGGAATATAGTATATAAAAACATTGCTCTTTTGGGATAAATGAACTGGTCATCTGCATCATCTTCATCATTGCAAGATTCTTTTGAAGCATTGTATTTTTGTTTAGTCCCTATAGAAAGGATTGCATCCTCTGTTGGCTTGTCAACGAAACAATATGGATTAGATATCCAAGGAGCTTGTCTTTCTCCTTCTTGTTTAGGCAGTAGTCTGCATAGAGTCATTTTCTTCTTACACATATTGTAGCACCTTGTTATTTCTTGAAACCTCTTTGTTTCTTTTTTTCTTAAAAAAGAATTTTCATTTCTTTTGCTAGATAACTGAAGAATTTCTGTTTCCTATACGACGTAGAATCTTTTCGACATTTTTTCATAATGTTTTTTTCTAAAAGATTGTATTAAAAGCTGGAAGCTCGTTATGATTGACCTTTTGAGATAGTGGATCGTGTGGGAGTGATGGCCTATCATCTTATCTTTTTAATCACTTCATTAAAATTTAAAGGTCTTTTTATTCTTTTGCTTATTCTTTTTTACCATTGTTTTTCTAGCCTCGCAAGTTCACTTTTCTGTCTATTCAGTATTTTGTGTCCTTTTTAAAAAACATTTAGCAGCGTCTTTAACTAGTGAATACTCTTAAGATTTCAGAATCAACACAAATTCTGAGATCCAATAGAAAACATGTATAGATTTTTAATCAAACTCTACTATTTGATTTAAATTAATATCAAAATATTGATTTAAAAATTAGTGCTTTCTATGTATATGAAAAATAGAAAATTATTAGCTGTAGATTTTTGGAAATAGTTTACATATACAGTATGTATATAAGTTTTAACAAGATGAGAGCATATTAATTATAATGAATTCCGTTTATGCCACAAATGCACTAGGGCGGGCCATCTGATCTGCATAACCTAATTAGTGTTTGAATATCCAATGTATCATTGCGCAAGCAGAAGATTAGATACCTCAAAAATAAAGCCCCTTTCATTTGAACTCTAAAACACTTCTTTCCTCTTGTGTTTACGCTTCGAGCTAAAAAATGCCACCAAATTAAAAATGCAACCAAAGCTCAATGTTCTGCAAGTTTATGTATGAAATAAAGTTCTGACAGGTGGCAACGTTTAAGTCCACTCAATGAACGAAGTTTGTTTCTTTGCTTACGGGTAGGTGAAGGTGTTTTCCAATTCTAACACGTTCGGACAAGTAGGTAAGGGAATATGCATTTGGATATAAAATGTGATTTCGGTTACAAGAAAAATAAACGCAAATTTTATAATACTATTTATAAAGTAAAGGTGTTGTTTTTTACCTAGAACGTAAAAAGTAGTAACGACTAATAAGAATGAAAGATATTATTATCGGCGTGGTGGCTCTCGCCGTGGTTCTTCTCTTCTTCCTCTACCAAAAGCCAAGAACCAAACGGTACAAGCTGCCTCCGGGTCCAAAGGCGCTTCCGGTGATCGGAAACCTCCACCAGCTTCCAAAACAAAACCCACAACGCTCCTTCTATGAATGGGCCAAAAAATACGGTCCAATCTTATCATACAAGATAGGAAGCAGAACAATGGTGATAATATCTTCGGCTGACCTAGCCAAAGAGCTTCTCAAGACGCAAGATGTTAACTTTGCGGACCGGCCTCCACACCGTGGCCACGAGGTCATATCCTATGGCAGGCGCAACCTGGGAATGGGCCACTTCACACCTTATTACCGGGAGATAAGGAAGATGGGCATGAACCACTTGTTCTCACCCTCACGTGTCGCCACCTTTAAGCACGTGCGGGAGGAGGAGGCTAAGAGGATGATGGCTAAGATCGAAAAGGCGGGGGAGAAATCCGAAGCAGTCGATATAAGCGAGCTTATGTTGACGTTCACAAACTCGGTTGTGTGTAGACAAGCGTTCGGGAAGAAGTACAATGAAGATGGAGAGGAGATGAAGAGGTTCATCCAGATTCTCTATGGCACTCAGAGCGTTTTGGGAAAGATTTTTTTCTCTGACTTTTTCCCCTACACTCGCTACATTCTCGATGATTTGACAAGCCAAACGACTTATATGAAAGAGTGTTTCGAAAGACAAGACAATTATCTGCAAGAGGTTGTCAATGAGACGCTTGATCCCAACAGGGTCAAGCCCGAAACCGATAGCATGATCGACCTCTTGATGGAGATCTACAAAGATCAATCTTTCGCCACCGAGTTCACTATCGAGAATGTCAAAGCCGTGATCCTCGTACGCTTTTGATCCATTTTCTTGCACTACAAGTAAACGTTTGCTTGTGTCTCACTCTTCTTTTTGTTTTGTGTTTGAAAAAGGATATCGTAGTGGCGGGAACGGATACGGCAGCTGCGGCGGTTGTCTGGGGGATGACGTATCTAATGAAGTACCCTAAAGTGATGAAGAAAGCTCAAGACGAAGTGAGAGATTATGTGAGAGAGAAAGGGTCAACGTTTGTAACTGAAGACGACGTCAAGAACCTTCCTTACTTTAAAGCCTTGGTTAAAGAAACCCTAAGGATCGAACCTGTGATTCCTCTCCTTATCCCTCGTTGTTGCATTAAAGACACCAAGATTGCTGGCTACGACATCCCTGCGGGGACTACAATCAACGTCAACGCGTGGTCCCTATCACGTGATGAGAAGGAATGGGGCCCAAACCCTGACGAGTTTAGACCGGAGAGGTTTCTTGAGAAGGACGTTGACTTCAAAGGCACGGACTACGAGTTTTTACCGTTCGGGTCGGGTCGGAGGATGTGCCCTGGAATGCGCCTTGGCACAGCGATGCTTGAGGTTCCATACGCGAACCTTCTGCTCAACTTCAACTTCAAACTTCCTAATGGAATGAAACCAGAAGATATCAATATGGATGTCATGACTGGTCTCGCTATGCACAAGTCCGACCATCTCAAGCTTGTCCCAGAAAAAGTGTACAATTGATAATTCCAGCTATCACTCTGGTTGTTTGGTATATGTACTCTGCTTCAAGCTTTGTTTTCTTTACACTCTAAGAGATAATCGTCTCTTATCTCTATAATCTTTCTATTCACATTTTCATGTAGGAAGCAATCAATATTGATGTATTTTGGTGTCTTATAATATTACTGGATTGTTCAATAATATAACTATATATTGAAAATCTTTACTACAAAATAAACCTCATCCAGTAAAGAAGTAAACGTAAGAATCTTGTTGGGTTTTATAATGCTTCATTGACCTTGTTTTGCTGGTTGACCATGAGAATAAATAACCGGAGATGACCGTGGAAAAGTTCCAATAAATTATTCACCACAATAAAGTTTACAGACACACAGTATATATACAACTGTTATAATCAGGATTGGTTACCAACAGAGTAAGAAAACGAAGAACAAAGATTATCTCTTCTGTTTTATCTTTCACGAACACAACTATGAACAAAGATTAAAACTTAGGCCTTGTACATAACAATACATTACAAAAATAATTTATCAAAAGCTGGAAGCTCATTACCATACCTTTTGAGATAATAGAGTCGTGTGGGAGAGGCCGCCTATCATCGAAACTTTTTGATCACTCATTAAGTCTCTTTTTATCTTCATTGATCTTCTTTCCTCTCAAGTTCACTTTTCTGTCTCTCCACTATTTTGTGTCTTTTTGTCTTAATTTTAGCAGTGTTTTTAATTATTGAATACTTTTCTGACAGTTGACAAACGCTATACTACAAAAGTAGAATGCGTTGGTCCTGGCTTCGTTTAAGCCACTCAATGAACGAAGCTTTATCTTTTCTTACGGGTAGGTGGAGGTGTTTTCCAATTCGAACACGTAAGCAGAAGTAGGCAAGGGAATATACATTTGAATATAAAGTTGGATTTCGGTTATAGTATCTGTTTTGGTTTGGCTAATACATGAAGAAACTGTGTGGTTTATGTAACAACTAAGAATGACAGATATTATCGTCGGCGTGGTGGCTCTTGCCGTGGTTCTCCTCTTCTTCCTCTACCAAAATCTAAAAACCAAACGGTACAAGCTGCCTCCTGGACCAACGGCGCTTCCGGTGATCGGAAACCTCCACCAGCTTCAGAAACTTAACCCACAACGCTTCTTCTATGGATGGGCCCGAAAATATGGACCAATCTTATCATACAAGATAGGTAGCAGAACAATGGTGGTGATATCTTCGGCTGAGCTAACCAAAGAGCTTCTCAAGATGCAAGATGTCAACTTCACCGACCGGCCTCAGCACCGGAGCCACGAGGTCATATCCTATGGCCGGCGTGACATGGTATTGAGCCACTACACACCTTATTACCGGGAGATAAGGAAGATGGCCATGAACCACTTGTTCTCACCCACGCGTGTCGCCACCTTTAAGCACGTGCGGGAGGAGGAGGTTACGAGAATGATGGTTAAGATCAACAAGGCCGCGGAGAAGTCAGAGGCAGTGGATGTAAGCGAGCTTATGATGACCTTAGGGAACTCGGTTGTGTGTAGGCAAGCGTTCGGGAAGAAGTACAATGAAGATGGGGAGGAGATGAAGAGGTTCATCAAGATTGTTTATGGGATTCAAAACGTTTTGGGCAAGATTTATTTCTCTGATATTTTCCCCTTTACTGGCTACGTTCTCGATGATTTAACAGGCCTCACGGCTTATATGAATGAGTGTTTTGAAAGACAAGACACTTATCTACAAGAGATTATCGATGAGACGCTTGATCCCAACAGGGTCAAGCCCGAAACGGAGAGCATGATCGATCTTTTGATGGATATTTACAAAGATCAACCTTTAGCCTCCGATTTTACTATAGAAAATGTCAAAGCCGTAATTTTGGTACGTATAATATTTCTCTTTTATGTTTTGAATCGTTGCTTTCTCTACAAGCAATCGTTTGCTTGTGTTTCACTCTTCTAGATGGTTTTCATTTTGCGTTTGAAAAGGATATCATAACAGGGGGAACGGAGACGGCAGCTGCGGGGGTTGTGTGGGGGATGACGTACTTAATGAAGTATCCTAAAGTGATGAAGAAAGCTCAAGCAGAAGTGAGAGAATATATGAGAGAGAGAGGGTTAACGTTCGTCACCGAAGACGATATCAAGAACCTTCCTTACTTCAGAGCATTGGTTAAAGAAACCCTAAGGATCGAACCGGTGATTCCTCTTCTTATCCCTCGTTCTTGCATTCAAGATACCAAGATCGCCGGCTACGACATTCCGGCGGGGACCACGGTCAACGTCAACGTGTGGGCCGTGTCACGTGACGAGAAGGAGTGGGGACACGACGCAGACGAGTTCAGGCCCGAGAGGTTTCTTGAGAAGGACGTTGACTTCAAAGGCACGGATTATGAGTTTATACCGTTCGGGTCAGGCAGAAGAATGTGCCCGGGAATGCGTCTTGGTGCGGCGATGCTCGAGGTTCCTTACGCGAATCTTTTGCTCAACTTCGACTTCAAACTTGCAAATGGAATGAAATCAGAAGACATCAATATGGATGTTATGACTGGTTTTGCTATGCACAAGTCGCAGCATCACATGCTTGTTCCCCAGAAAGTGTGGAAGTGACTGTTAGGTGTGAGAAAAACGAACCGAACTAACCAAACTCATGTATATAATTGCAACTCATGTAGTTACTCAACTGAAATAAATCAATTACGTATCTGATGATAAACAATAAGTGTATTCTTTCCATAAAGAGGCAGTCGTTGATCTCTATCATCTTTATAACTTAATCTTCGCATATTCATGAAGGAAGCAATTCACATTTGATCAATTTCGAATCTTATGAATATTATCACTGCATTGCTACAAAAATAAGAACTAAACTGATGTTTGTACCTTTGTTAAACAATAAGCCTCATCTAGTATAAACAAAAACCAAAAGAAAACTAACTGGGTTTTAAAACGCAACATTGACCTCGTTTCGCTGGTTAGGCATGAGAATCAATAACCGGAGAAGACCTTCTTGGCACAACTTGACAGGGTTCCTATGCTGTGTAAGGATTGCATTACTGTTTCCCAACAAAACATGAGCAATTATGTAACCCTCACATTTCTCATTTGCAAATTGCCATTCCCTCACTGTCAAGTTGAAGTAATCTTTCCGCGTAGACACTGTTGCTTTCACCTCCACGTACTCTAGCTTACCACCAGGGTATTCGAGCAATAGGTCGTAAGGTAAACCGGTTTCGCTATGCTCGTTAACCCATCTAACGTTAGCCTCCTTACTGTGTGTTGCCAAGAAGTATCTGTAAGCGATTTCTTCGCCTTTTCTACCTGTCTGTTGTGCCTGTGCAGCCCAAGGTGTGCCTGTATGAAGTTGATCTCTTTCGCTGAAGTTAGCTGAGACGGAGTTGTTCCAATCATGAAGAAGGTTTGGATTGAAGTTAAAAGAAGGTTGATTCCCTGAGGCTGAGCCAGTCTTCATTTGCAAAGAATGCAATGGGTTTGGCTGGATAGCTAGTGAACTTGTGCCTGCACTGTTATCATATCCAGCAGCCAAGTTTGTACCAGTCGATACTTGTTCCTCAAGCGCCTCTGTTACATTCTCTTCGCTACTACTAACATGACCGGAGGCCAGTTCTTGTTTAGAGTCATCAATGTGAGGCTCGTTAGAACCGTGGCGTGGTTTGGAAGTTGAAGGTACCCAGCTCAAGCTTATTCCAGCTTTCTTCTTGGCTTTAAGAGCAGATTTGAGGGACCAGATCTCCTCATCATCAGGAATCTTCTGAACTTTTTGACTGTTCAAAATGAATGATTCCATTTGCTCCTCGCCCATACCAGATTCTGCCATTGTTTTGATCAAGTGAAGGAAATTCGCCAAATGCAGATCAGGAACTCCGTTGAAAAATAAACGAGACAGTTCCATGAACAAGGAATGGGAATCCAGACACGGTGTTGTGTACAGAGATTTATCCTGGAGACAACAAGATCAAAACATATGATATATCAGTAAAGAGAACACATTTCCAATAAATCTTTCACCACAGATATATAGGAGTTTGCATCGAATTGGAGTATCACATTGCTGTTTGATCAAAAGCAAAGATCTACTTCAACAGAGAGGAGTTTCTAGTAGCGTCAAAGCCAAATGTCACAGCCCTATCAACCAAAAATATATTGTATACACTATTGCAATACACATAAACGAAAGAAGACATACCTGCAGAAGAGAGCTGCATTCAAACTCCTTTTTAGAGCTAATGTCATATTGCGGTATGACATTTTTATAGCATAACTTCTCAACAACAAAGACTTGTAGACGCTTGACTTGACTATAAACAGTCTTTTTTGTTTGGTTATACTTCTCATGATGTAGAGTAAAGAGATATCGCTGCGCATAAGGAAGAGACCAGTTCACAAGTGACACTGTTACACTATTATCTTGCAAACCTTCATATATCGCTTCACGCTTTACCACCTGGAAAAGAAAAAAAACACATTAGCTTCTCAGAATGAATTGGAGGTGAGGCCATGGACACTAGTGTTTTATAACAGAAACGGAGACACATGTATAAGTTCTACCCTAGTACATATTAAAGCTACAAGATGATGCAGATGCTTTTGGAGTAAGTGCATAGACAAAATTCAAGAAAGGCTTACTCTTGCGGTTCAGATAAATTTCAATGTCACCTAGAACCTTTTACATATATAAGTGCTTGCATATTCAATATATTTTGGTGCAAGGAGAGGATTAGTTACCTCAGAAATACTTGGAATGCCCAAGCTGTGCATCAGCACAGATACTTTTGTTTGAAGCACTTCTTGCTCTTCGTCAGCATTTTCCCCAAAGTAAATAAACTGAATATTATCCTTCTTTTTGAATCTCTTCTTTAACTTCTCATCATCACACCAGCATACGAGACCGAACGAGGAGTGTAAGGAAACCCACTTATCACTTTCAGTAGGAAGCACAGCGTATTCGAGTTCTGAAAGTCTCTCTTTAAAATGAACAACATCTTCAGTAGATTTTCCAGATTTCAAGTCATCACTCCACTTCAGGAAAATTTTGGAGACCTAGAACATGAACTTAACACTTTAGCAAAGAAGAATATAGACAAAATATAAACAGAACGAGACTGACTTAGCTAAGTAAATAACTTACAGCCTTGGCAGCACATGAGGGCGACACATAGTGTGCGAATTGCCCCAGAATTTTAAGGTACTCTTGGAAAGAAGGCGTCTCAGGTACTCCACACCCATTCACAAAAAAGTCATGGAGACCTGGATAGATATTGCACAATGTTTTTCTATGCAATGATTCCACAACACTGCTGATCTGCGAACTGATCTCTTTTATCTCTTCTAAAACGCCAGCAGAATCATTCCAGTAAACATCATCAAGTGACAAGAATATTCCGGATATTATATCATTCTGCCTACTTCCAATTTTGTGTGGCACAAATACAGAAGGGAAAGCATGGAGCTTTTCAGTAATTTTCTGCTTCGAATCAGCCATTTCATTCCACAAAAATTTGTAAAATCTGGTAACCTGAGAGATGCTGTAAATTTAAAGACAGTGTTACACTGTTAGAAAATGCATCAACAAAGAACTGGAAGTCTTGCGTCATTATCATAAGTTTTGGAGTTCACACAAGGATACGGGTGGAAAAACAAATATGTGACTAATATAGAAGACAAAAACAGCTCGTTCTAAACTGAAGTATGTAGTACTTGAGAAGCTCATGGAATGTAGTTGAAATAAATATATAAAGGCAGTGCAGAAAAGAAAAAAAAACAAAGTTGAAACTGCTCCAAAACCATAGAGTTGTACCTTGATTTGAAAGAATCTCCACAGTGTACCCAAGCTTCTAGGATTTCCAAAGCATCATCGAGGCAAACTTTGGTCTTGAAACCAATATCATTAAGTAACTTGACACTTGTAACCTGTTCCACAGTAACCCAAGTTACCCAATTAGAGAGGACGAAAAAAGGGTTAAGCAAATAGATGAAAGCGCTCCACCGCTAAGGAAGATATAGACAGTGTAGGAGGTCTATATGGTGGTAATCACATCTATCAAGGTTCAAGATATTTAAATAATACCTCTAGCTAAGTTTCAGACCACATATTTTTATAGCCCCAATATAAAACACTCAATAGGACTAATAGTTATAAACAAACACAATATAATATTCGTAAGACAGGACCAAACCAACCTTCGGAACTGCATACGGCGCATTCATGCCAAGTATTGATCGCACATCATCACAATCATGATAGAGGTCTTTCGCAAGATGCAATTCGTCGTCCATGCATGAAACTATCCATTGAGATTCACAAATTGGCCTCAGAAATGAAGATTGTGACGATCTGATGACACCATCCCCACCGGAATTAAAAGTAACAGTTGTTTTGTCATGGTAGCAATCATCCCACAATCTATCCAGGACTTCCAAAAGGTACTTGCAACCTTTGCGGCCATTACTTTTGTGCAAAAGAGACAAGAGATCAACTAGTTCCGGGGATTCCCAGTCTCTAACAGCTAACTCGGGAGGTAACAAGGTCGTATCAAACTTTTCACAACGTGAAACAGAATAGAATTCAGCAATGCTCTTTTCAACTTGAACCACTTGAACAAAATCAACTATCCCTATCTCTTGGAAAAATTCCCGCCACTCCTTCAACCCGCATGCATAATATTTTGATGCTGGATGTTTCAAGTAGGTACCATCAACCACATGCCACGTTATATCCAAGTTCTTGGTAAGCTTCTTCATGTTAACCTGGTTTCCAAATTCTTCACCGAAATGAATCGACGCCTCAGCTAGCTGTTTCAACCCATAATTCGATAATATCAGAGCTTTGCTTCTTAACTCAGAAATAATGTACTTCCTCTCATTATGACACACATGGCAGCCAGATCGTAGATGTGTCATCACAAAGCATAAGTAATCTACCATCAGACCCTCCAGTGTAGCTCTACTTTTCGCCTCAAAGGCTGGTAATATATGCACCTTGATGATTTCATGTGCCGACAGCTTTTGAACGCCAATTGCACAAAGCATGTTTACAAGGTCATCCACAGCAGATTTTTCATCAACAGAAGACGCCAAAAGAAAGGAATGATCAATGGTTCGGAGATTTCCATATAACATAGGAAATGCTTCAGATACATCACCAAGATCAAACCCAGAGGAGTCATGGTGCAACCATACTGCGCCTTCATCTAAAGAGGTGAACTTACCATTTGACAGGGGAATAAATGGAATCTTATGAAGGCCTTCTATAAGAGTCTTATCTATACCTAACTCTGCGTTACCATGCCCAGAAGAACGGAATAGTGTGTAAAGTTCAGTAAGAACAGACGATAACCACGCAAAGCCCATTGATTGCAGACAATCTTTCTTGTGACTCAATGAAGAAAGAATCTGCACCAGAATCTTAGGTCCATAGTCTTCAATGCCCAGTGCCCTTGACAGCGAATCTGACAAAACTATATCTTTGTCCAGAAAACCCAGAGCAAGATGCTCCTGAAGCAATCCATCCTTTAGAAGAATCCTTATCTTTTCATTCCAGTTTCTTAAAACCTGGCAAGGAGGAACCCATTGTTCACTGTCTCCCTCAAGCAGCAAGCAATTGGTTGTTCTCAATCTAGATATGATAGAACGAGGGAGAGAAGAAAAGAACCCATGCACTTCCCCGACGAGAGGTACAAGCTGCATATACGAGGACACAGCTTTACCCAGATTCTGGTTCAAAGAAGGAAGACTGCAAAAGGACCTCAGAGCACCCACAAACAAACCTGGAAATTCTGACAACAACCACTGGTTCCAAGGACTATCCTCATCAACATCCTCCCTTGATGATGTTAGAATGAAATCCCCTTGTAAGATAAATTTCAAACCATAAGTTCTAAGAGGAAGAAAAGCAAAAACAGGTTCTTGAATCATACATGATCTGTAAGTTCCATCTTCCAGTAAATCAAGAGTAAATCCTATGGAAATCTCTGTTGCCTGAACGCCATCACGAAGATTGGCAGCCTTTAATTTCTCTGATGCCACAAACCATGTCATGCTGTTTTCTCCACATGAAACCTTGACGATATGCTCACTCACAACCTCTTTCCTCATGACCAAGAGAGAATCGTCAAGCATGTTTCTGTATACTAAGCACTGGAGGCGATGTAGGAAGAGTAATAAAGAAGGATGAAGGTCTGAAAACATAGGCTCAATGTGGTTCACTGTCGTTCTTTCGGAATCGGAGTCAGCGGCTCTGAAAGGAAGTGTAATACAAGTGTTCCATCTTGCATCCTTCAGTTCTAAAGCACGGTCAGATAACATGCTGGAAATTGATTCAATATCATGAGGAGGTACAACAGTCGGTAAAATGTATCCAATCTGACCCTCACTTATATCAAACTTGATATGGAAACCATTTGAGTGGATCTCAGGTGCATCAGAAACCTGGAAAGCGAACCCAAGCAAAAGTGTTAAGAGTACTTATTTGAGAAAGAATTTGCAATAATCCTTTTACTACTTGAAGTGAAAGTTAATATACGGCTTTCAAGCTGACAGGACTTTGAGGACATGCTTCGAAATAGATATTCCTAAGGCTATTTCTTAGCTTAGCATACTATAATTATAATCTCATTTAAGCTTGGGTTCAACAGTTGCATAAACAATAAAATCTATAAGATGAATTCTCTTGGTACATACCCGAAACACTGACTTGAAGCCAATTCCTTTCTTTCCTATGTATCCACCAGATCCTTTCTTTGTTGATCGACCAACATCACACAGAGCCCGAATGTTCTCAGGCATGAAGCCACACTCGTTGTTTAAAACAACAATGCCAGTCTTTTGAAGAATGAACGTGAGTGTGGGTTCCACATGTTCAGGGTACTTATTGTCATCAGCATTTTGAACCTGAAATAACAATAGCAAAAGAGTAAGAGATTGCCAAATGGAACGTCCATTTAATCTCTCCTGTTTACAAGAAAGGCAAGAAAAGTGATAAAGAAAACATCTAACAACCTATATTGTTGTCTATCTAGCTTCTTCAACAGACGTGAAAACCATCGAAGTCCCTCACAGGGCAAACAACATTTGAATACCCATTAACCCTCCCCGTTTACAAGAATAGTGATAACGGAAAAATCTACCAGTTGACAGCATATAGATGTCGCCTAATTACTAATCACATTGGCAGAATAGAACTCAGTTGTAGGATACACGTATGCAAAAGACTGCACCAACTATGCAGTCAAGCGAACCCGATCAATATGCTTGTAAAGAGATTATAAACAAAGAACGAAAGAAGGCAAAAAATCTTACGAGTTCAAGAATAAAGTGTGAATCTTGAGAATACAACTCCTGGGACAAACACTGTAGTGCTCTTCCTAATCGAGCATGTTGTTTCTGCAGCATACTCATCTCAGCACCAGAAGAACTTGAATCCAGCCCAAACTCATCGCGTCTGATTAAATCAATAACAGAGGCTGGATTATCATGAAACTCAAGAACAGTCTGGGTGACGGTCTCCCCCACACCATCACATAAAGCCCCAGCACCGCCAAACGTGGGACAAGGCTCATGAGGTTCTGTATTATCTTCACACGACTTCTCCTCTGATGCGATCATGCATCTTTGTTCGGTAGAGGTTAGGTCCTCCGATTCTTTTTGCACACAACCTGTGCCAGAACCCAAGTCAGACGAAGCATTTTCCACTATTGCAGTGTTCGACGGAACAGGAGCAGAAAACGTATTGTAATCACTAATCCATTTAACAATTCCTAGCAGCAATCCAGCATCATGCAACATAATGCGTTGCTCTGTGTGCTCACATGCAGATAAAACTCTTGTAGGCGCATCTTTAACAACAGAACGTAGCCCCGATAGCAAGACATCAACAGCTAAACTGCGAAACTCCGCAGGTAGATAGCCCAGACAATCAAGAAGAAACTTTGAGGCAGCATAATCACTTTTCTCCACTTTAGTTTTCTGTTCGACAACTACCGTTTTGTCCAAGGAAGCACTGAGATTAACTGGCTCACGCATGTGCACAAGAGAATTTCCATCATAAAGCTCCATCTCCTTTAGATGGTTGTCCAAAAATACTTCAAATGCACGTTTGGCATAGCATTTTAGAAGGGAAAATGGTAGATGTGTTCGTCCATTCAATGATATCAACGACAACAACTGTGCAGCTGTACGGTAAGCAGATCCTTGAAGCGCAGCCTCTAAGAAGGAATCTGCTGTTGCAGAAGGATCTGTCCGGATAATTTTACCATCCCTTGTCACTAGACACAGCAGATCTTTTGAATTAATCTCATTCAAACATCCCATAAGAGGACCAAAGGATGGAGCAAACCTAAGATCCCAGTGACACCATGAGTTCAAGTCTGACAACAACGGAACCCTAAGCAAAACATCTAAAACTTCTTTGAATGAAACAGCAGTGAGAGGAGTGCTTCTTGATTCAGTATCATTTCCCACGGTCAGGGATTCTTGTAAATCCTTACCGGTCAAAGAGTTTTCAGCTCCCAACAATGTTGCAGAAAAGACGACACATTTAGAACCGGATTTCTTCTCGTAGCTACCAATGATTTCAGTGAAATTTTCCTCTAAATTTTTTCCTAACACCTTCAAATTGATTGATGGAAATTGTTCTGCAAGCAGTCGAGCTAGCATCTGCCTAGATACTACCTTACCACCTGAGAATTCCGAAGCTTGCGATAGCAATGGGGTCAACAGATTCTCATTCACGTGGACCTCCAGAGGAGAATCTTCCCGTAATTCTCGAGCTAGAAACCTTTGAAGTTGTGTTGGTAGCAGCGACATATGTTTTTCCAAGAAAGTGAAAAACTCACCCCAACCAAGAGACTCAAAATCGGGTACTTGAAATTGCTCTGCCAACTGAACCTCGCAAGTTTGTAGCTTCCTAAAGATAGTAATATGCTTCTCTCTAGAAAGATCACACTCAAAATACAACGAAATCTTTCTGATAATTTCTTCAACAGTATTACCTAATAAAGATCAAATCAGATTACAAAGCGTAAGAGAAATGATAAGCAAGCATTAAAAGACTGCCACAGAAGCTTGTTAGATAATGCATTATAAAAAAACAGATCCCATTTTATTATAACTCCTTTAGATTGTATTTTGACTTCAATAAATATAGATCGTATTATGATGCTACGAATGAGCTTGACCATACAATTTGAACTAGATTTTAAAACAACAATAAACCAAAATGCAACATGAAGATAGAGAACAAAAATATACTCACTGTGTTTTGGAGGGACAACATGCTGAGTTTTGTTTAACTCATCGTTTTCACTTGGCTTAATATCATCTACTTGATTTCCTGAGCCTGGATTACTAATATCACTTTGGCTCGCTATTTGCAAAGCATCATATATGCTATCACAGTTTCCACGTCTCATTGAGGTTACCTGAAAATGCAGCACAACAACAACAAAAATTGAGTCGGAAATGAGCAATGGTTATTGCAAAATCATCTTTAAACAAACAACAACTCAATGCACGCAAGCAAATGAGAAAACATCAATAGAATTGAACATGCCCTCCTGCAACATTTCAAGCCATGCTAGACGTGTTCGAAATACATGTTTTGTCCATACAATTTTGATTATAATTTAAGATGAAATACATAATAAGAAATGCTTCCAGAGAAAAACATCTATATTCCAAAAGACACAAAAACCAAGCTGGTCTTGATTTAACAGTAAAGTCAATCTACAGAAAACAAGTGCACTCTTTCAATAAACAAGAAGCATCATATTACTGTATATATAAAAAGGGTAAAAAATAAGTAGGTAAAACACAAAACCCGTTGAACAAGTAAAAAAAAAGTTACTACTCAACTACGGCAAACATCTGCACATTTTTCTTCAGAAATAGGAAATGAATATAATAAAAAGTAAACGAAACGAGACAATGTTTGCTGTAACAGATTCCTCACAGCACCTAAACAAAGACACTTGAAGAAAGACAATGGGCAGACACTACTGGAACACAAAACAAGAAGCTTTTTGCACAAGACATGGAAACAGGTGAATATTTTCTGAAGATACCACGAACTCCATGTTGAATAAATTCTGGTGTAAAAAATATTTGACCAAGGGAATTTTCAAGATAAAACCAGGTTTCAGTTTCACATTCCCCTATTGATATTTCAAAAGACAGAATCTGCAACCTGAGATGTTGAAAGGTTTCCATTGATTAATTTACGAAGAAAACGGGGACACAAAGGGGCGCGAGTTTTCAATGATTCACATAGTATTTGTATCCTTTTCCAGCCTGCCTCAGTGACATTGTGATTTGCAAAATGCAGAATCAAAGAGCCAAGCTGAACTAGGGAAGTTTCTACATATGCTGAACTCCAAGACTTTGCAACTAGGTGCTGAGTCTCAGTGCAAGAGCAAGGAGGCTTAAACCACACCAAAAAGGGGAAAAATAAAAGCTTAAAACCAAGTATTCGCAGAAGTATGACTGGAAATTGTCTAGCTTTTAAACTCGGCAATTTACAGATTTGGAAAGGAGATATCACGGATGTGAGCCTGTGTTTTGTCTAACACATTGAACTAGCAATTATTTTTTAAACTGGTAAAAAAACAACAAAGACAAGGGAAAAAAAGGTAAAGCACAAAGTAAAATGGAAGAGTGGACTAGAAAATGAGTTTGGATGTAATTTCAGAAAGAAAATAGGAAGCATTAACCGTGATTGCTGGCAGAATTGGTCAACTGAATTAATTAAAACAAGAAAACAAAGAAAAACGCAAAGGAAAAATGGCAAAAAAGTTTAGACTAAGGTAATATGACAACTCACAGCGATATTTAGTAATCCAACAAATGGAAATGATGACATCGTTTTAGCTCTTTTATTCTGAGATGGTCCTATCGAGTCCCCCAAGTTGTAATAGGACAGCATTTTCTCGACAAACTACAAAATAAAAGAGAGTATAAGAAAGTAAACAAACATGTAGCCACAACATTCTTCGCTAGAATAATTCACTCTCAGATTGAAGAAAAAATATATATCTGACACAGGATATAAAATGGTCACACAGTCTCGAAGTGAACTTACCGTTGAAATGGTTAGCTCTTTACATTGCTCCTTCCAAAGTGAAATGAACTTGCTCAAACATCCTTCAGAAAGCGTGAAATCAGCCTCATTGACACCAAAAACCTGTTTAGCATCAGAATCGTCAGCCGATTTAGGAATCTCTTCTTTTGCATGTCCTTTATGTAATTTAGAGGAGCCTTTTCTAAGCCCTTTGGACGAATCGGATTTTTCATGATTATGACTTTTAGTCTTCCTTTTCTTATTGGATCCCCCAAGCCGCTTCATCTCTTCCGTAGCAGATGGATACGGACAACTACTAACATGGTCAGAATTATTAACATACTCAACTTCATCATCAGCACTATCATTGTCATCTGAACTTGATGAATTAAATCTAATATGCTTGCCACAATAATCCTTATGTTGTAAAACAAACGAGTCAGCACGCTCAGAGACCGTAAGAGATTTTTGTTGCGGCTGTTTCTTTGATGAGGGGATGTGATACTTCTGATGCACTTCAGTCAGTAAGATCTTCAATGCTTCACCTTCTTGTCTCTTTGCGTCTTGAATAAAAGATGCATACATCCTACAAAAAAAAATGAATTTATCACATATAGTCAGCTATATGCAGATCATACCAAGAATAAGCTGAAACGTAATCTGATAACAAAATCAATATCATACCCCAAGCTCTGAATACGCACACCAAGCTTTTCCTTGCTTGATACTGATTTTTGCGAAGCAACAAAATTCAGGAAGTGATCGACCTTAACGTCTTTTGTTATGTAAGTGTACATATAGCTGTCAAGCAATGATAGTATCTCCTCAGTAGTGATCTGAACTAGGCCAGTAGAGCTGGCTATGGATGGAAAATAGAGCAAAACGAGTGGATGCTGCAGCAAAGGTCCCAACTCCAGATCATCGAAAGAATCAACAAACTCGTTTCGACAAATTGCCACTTCCAAATCATGCAGGGTCACGATTTTTCTAGCCCCAACATAGCAGTGGATAAATGCATTAATCTACAAAAACATAAGAAATGGCACAATACTGCTAAAGATTCAAAACGTTGAAAGATACACAAAATCTTTGCTTTTTCCATCTAGCCTCACTTACCTTGCCTTCAAGGGCCATAAGTTGACGAAGGGAAGGAACATCTTGCATTTGCACGCCCATGGAACGCCAAGAATCAGCCTCGAGTTCCTCAAGAACCGATCTCGAGACTCTAGTCGAAGCAACGCTCTCTCCAGCAGCGATCATTGATTTACGCGTGTTGATGACGGCCTTGTTAATCCGCATGACTTCTACTTTGTGCTTTGGCTTTGAGGAAGACTTCTCCGAAGATCCCTTTCCTCCATGGATTCGAGAGACGCCACTATCGTCATTGCCTACACGAGTAGGAACCGGTATAGGTACGCTGATCGAATTCGATTTCGGAGTCTCCTTGACGACCACATCAGTCCCCTGAATCACCTCTTGACGCCTTCGTTTCAAGGAGGAGCTCTCTAAAGCTCCGCTTCCTCCACCACGGTTCTGAGAGCTACTGACGTCATTATTAGGAAGAGACTGAGGAGGGAAAGAGAAGCTCTGTGACTGGTTTTGAAGGTAAACATTAGAGCCACCGCCAAATTGGTGAGGGATTTGTGGATGGAGGAAGTTGAGATTCTGCTGGGTTTGGAAATTTGGGTTTCCGAGGGGGAAGGAGGAGTAATCGGGGAAATTAGGGCGGTAATAACTCGCCGGAAACTGAGGTATAGGGTATATATTGGGTTGCTGTTGGAGATTGAAACTGGAATACAAAGGATTCACACTAGGAAGATATCCACCGGGGACGCCGTTATTGTTTCCGTTACCTCTGCCGGTTCCACTGCTCCCTGAGCCGCCGAGAGACCACGAGCCGTCGCGGTTCCCTTGCATTCGTCGGCGAGGGAATAGCGAACGACGATTGAAAAATTGCAAAAGATTTTTTTGGAGAAGAGCAGAGAGAAAAGGGTTTAACAGTTTCTTCTTCCTGCTGCCTTCGGTTTATATATGAGACGAGAGTGAGTCCGTCTCTCTATCTGGTTCGGAGGGTTAGGATTTAGGGTTAAGCATACCGGTTTTAATTCCCAATTTGCAAACCGAAATCAGGCATCAATAAAACCAACACCTTTAATCGAGGTTAGTTGGTTCAAGACAATTTAATTAAGTTCATGTTTGACAATGAACACGATCTTTGGTGAACATATTGAGATTCAGAAGACTCTAAAAAGGATTGTGCTTCAAGGAGCAACACACATATGATTCACAAATGGTTCGATACAAACAGTTTGCATATGTAAAAGACCGGCTAATAAGATTTCAACGTTTTGATATATATTTTTCCATCGACACATACATTTTTACACATATATAATCATTCATGAGAGCACCTTAGTTTTCTTAGACCAAAATATATGATATTCAACAGATTATATCATCGAGATTGCTATGATTCAACAAAAGAATCTCAAATCAATCGACCAAAAAAAAAAGATTGTTAGTAAAAATGTTTTTTTTTTTTTTTGTAAAAAAATTGTTAGCAAAAATGTTAATCAATGAAATTGGCCAATCTCATGAGATTGTATAATCGCACTGATACCACCATAAAGAGTTCTATGAACCAAAAGCTCTAGTTGCAGATAGATCGCCAAAAACTCTATCGTAAGAGAAAATGAAAGCAATAATTAAAATCAGATCTTTAAAAAAAAAAATTAAAATCAGATCAAATTCGAGCTTGGTTCCAAAAAACACTTGGCTCATATTAAATAAATTAATTAATCACTTGACTTAATATCACATATTAAAAAAACCACTGGTTGTATTTATTTAACAGGCTATAACTTATAATTTCAAATATTTGAAACTTTTTATTGCCAAAAACAAAATTATATAGTAACATATTTATGTCCAAAAAATTACCAAAAGCTATAGTTTCCCTTATCAATTAATATCGAGAAAATTACTTTGAGACACTCTTAGAGAAACATAAGTACATAACTACTAGAGAAATTTTAAGATATATACCTTTTGAGGTGCAAATTTTCAAAACTACACCTATTATGTGGAAATTTTCAAAAATATACTTTTTCCTAATTTTAATATATATGTTTGGGTTCACTAATCCTAGATTAGGGTTTAGATTTTGGGGTTTAGGGTTTAGATTTAATGGTTCAATGTTAGATTTTAGGGTTTTGAGTTTATATTTTAGGGTTTAGAGTTCTTTTACTCCATGAAAAAAATGTAGTTTTGAAAATAAACATTATAGAAGTGTATTTTTGAAAATTTACACATCAAGAGGTGTAGTTTTGAAATTTCCCCTAACTACTATCAAACACTAAATATACGTATTTAATGTTAGCTTGACTATAATATATATGCATTCAACTTACCTAAGTAGCTTAGTAACCATCTTGTAGTAACATCTATAAATAGGGAAGCAAGGTGCATTTGTTTTGTGTCTTCCTACCTACCAGATACATTTTTTAACAGATTGAATAATCTTTATATATATATAATCATCTTCATATTTTAAATATATATATATTCAAATAAAACAGTGAGATCTGCCTCCACTCCACGTAAATTGAAACAAAATTTTGTAAATTTTGAAACGTTAGTATGAAATCTGAAATCCCAAGTACGACCCCAAAGGATATGGATTATCCAATAATCAGTCTCAGAAGATTTGCAATGTGCATTCATAGTGAGTATAATTTACTACCAAAACATAAATATATTTATTCAGTGCTACTTTGACCATAGTATATGTATTCAACGTTTGTCGACAAAGGAAAAAAAATATGTATTCAACGTTACCTAAATAATTTAGTCCGCATAACAAAATATTTACATTTTTTATTTATAAATAGGGAAGCAAGGTGCATCATAAGTTTTAACCAATAATTCACATCCAAATAATATACATAATTATGGCTTTCTCAAATACATCTCGTTATATATTGATGTTGATGATCTCATCTACTTTTGTTCTTTCCGCATTAGCGTTCAATGTTTCAAATGATGCAGCGGAAGGGCCAACACCAGGATCCGGCGACGACGGCTTCTTCCCTTTTGCACGAAAACATGTTACAATTCTCAATTCTTTAGCAAACAGAAAGGTTCTCTATGCACATTGCAAATCTTCTGAGACAGATTTTGGGATAACCCATATCCCTTTGGGTGGTTCTTGGGGTTTCAAATTTCGTGTTAACCTTTCAAAATCTACTAAATTCCGTTGTCTTTTCTTTTGGAATGCATACGAAAGTCATTATTTTACTGTATTTAAAGTATCAAGAGATGATAACCCATTAGGAGACTATCCCGTCTGTAAGGAATGTATTTGGGAGGTGGGAAGATACGAAGTAACTCCTATATGTCGTATAAATCGTGATAGAACTGAACCTTATTGTTTCAAATGGGAAGATGAATAAAAGACATACCTATTTTTTAAAAATAATAATGAAATAAAAAGCTATTGTTATTACTTTATCTTATCTAATAAATTTTACAATGGTAAATTCGTAATAGAATTAATAAAATATAAGCATTCATCATGTTCGAATGTGTTTATAAGCTTTTTTGAAGTCTTTTGATTATCCACATAAGCAAATTTAGTTTGTAAGTACATTTGGGAGTTGTCCCAATTTGGAGACCCAATCTAACAATTTCATTGACCTAGTGAATCATTCTATGAGAGAACGAGTCTGCATTAGAGAACATAATATTACGTGAACGTGCCCCTTTTTCAACTTGTTAAACTATCTTGTAAATTTGTGATAGACTTAATATCACATACTAAACTTTTTTCCATACTTATTTACAGGCTACAATTTCTAATAGTTGAATTTTTTAATTTTATGACATATATGTCAATAACAAAATTATTAAGTAACCTATTTCTGTCAAAAAAGAAACTAACGTTTGTACTTATCAATTAATACTGAGCCACTTTCAGAGAAACATAAATACCATCAAAACCTACGTATACATATTTACGTATTTAATATTACTTTAACCATAATATGTGCATTCAAGTTACACCTAAATAGTTTAGTCACCATAACAAAAACATTTACATCTTGTAACTTCTATAAATAGGGAAGTAAGGTGTAAGTTATTTTGTATCTTCCTACCTCTTTACAGATTGAATATATAATCTCCAAATGGCTTATCATCTCTTGATATTTTTAAATATACTAAAATAGTGAAATCTGCCTCCACTCCAGCTAAATTAGTATCAAAATTTATTAGATTTATAAAAGTTAACACAAAACTGAAATCCCAAGTACGACCCCAAAGCATATGGATTATCCCATAATCAGTCTCAGAAGATTTGCAATGTACAGTATATTCATAGTAAATATAAATACTTACCAAAAACTAAATATATATATGTTCAATGCTACTTTGACCATATATATGTATTCAACGTTACCTAAATAATTTAGTCACCATAACACAATATTTCCAATTTTTCATTTATAAATACGAAAACAAGGTGCATTATAAGTTTTAACTAATAATTTACGTAACTATGGCTTTCTTAAATAAATCTCATTACATATTGATGTTAATGATCTCATCTACTTTTGTTCTTTTCTCATTAGCCTTTGAAGTTTCAAATGATGTAGCGGGAGGGCCAGCAATCGGATCCGGTGATGATGGCTTCTTCCCTTTCGCAAGAAAACATGTCGTAATCCGCAACGTTGTAGCAAACAGAAATCTTCTACTTGTACATTGCAAATCTATTGTGACAGATTTTGGAGTAATCCATATTCCTTGGGGTGGTTCTTGGGGTTTCAGATTTCGTGTTAACATTTCAAAAACTACTAAATTTCGTTGCCAATTTTTTTGGGATGGAGGCGGATATCACCATTTTACTATATTTAAAGTATCAAGAGATGATAGTCCATTAGGAAAATACCCGGTTTGTAAAGAGTGTATTTGGGAGGTGGGAAGATACCATATAAATCCTATGTGTCGTATAAATCTTGATAAAACTGAACCTTACTGTTTCAATTGGGAAGATAAATAAAAGACATACCTATTTAAAAAAAAAAAAATAATGAAATAAAAATTCTTGCTATTGCGTTATCTTATCTAATAAATTTACCGAGGTAAATTATCATGTTCGAATGTGTTTATAAGCATTCATCATGTTCGAATGCGTTTATAAGCTTTTTTGAAGTCTTTTGTTCATCGTTGTGTGAAAATGAAAGACGAGAAGTAGCACAAGGTTACGCCTTGACATTATGACATGTTGGAGTTGGACCCATGATTACTAAAATCTAGTAAACGAAAATAGTTTTCTCGAGATACAAGAAAAGAGAGGTCACATTGAATTACCCAATTGAGAGAAACTGTCAATCTCCAAATAAATTCCTACGAACATAGGATACAACCATTGAACACATACCGAATCAAGCAAAGCACCGATCCATTTGTCAATCTTTGAGCAGAATTTTAGAATTCTCCAAAAAGAAGAAAATAGAAAGCAACAAGAACCAAGCATAACAGAAAAGAGGCAAAGAGGAAGAAGAGATAAGAGTATGGATAAAAGAGAACCATAATTAAGAAAAAGATTAGTGAAATTGCTTCAAACTTCATTTCTTGATGACTTTTTGGTTCTAACTTGATTCTTCGCAAGTAAATTCTCTTTGGACGAAGAAGATATATAGTTTTGAGTTTTGACTTTGTACAAATATTTTGTCAATAAGTACATCTTCAGTTGAAATATTTTTACCAAATCAAACTAAATAAAGTTGCGTGAATTGATCAAATCAAATTTATAAGAAAGACCAATCCTAAAAAACTCTCTCTAGTTTATATCTCTGTTACAACACCAATACCATTCATAAGTCTTAACAATGAAGCAAAGGTTTGATCTAGAATTAACT